CCTCGGTTTCACTTCGACTTGTAAATTGCTACAAATTTCAACAAGTGTTAAGCATCTTCTTTGGTTGGATCAACCTGTAGATTGCTATAAGTGTTGCAAACTATAACCTCGGTTTCACTTCGACTTGTAAATTGCTACAAATTTCAACAAGTGTTAAGCATCTTCTTTGGTTGGATCAACCTGTAGATTGCTATAAGTGTTGCAAACTATAACCTCGGTTTCACTTCGACTTGTAAATTGCTACAAATTTCAACAAGTGTTAAGCATCTTCTTTGGTTGGATCAACCTGTAGATTGCTATAAGTGTTGCAAACTATAACCTCGGTTTCACTTCGACTTGTAAATTGCTACAAATTTCAACAAGTGTTAAGCATCTTCTTTGGTTGGATCAACCTGTAGATTGCTATAAGTGTTGCAAACTATAACCTCGGTTTCACTTCGACTTGTAAATTGCTACAAATTTCAACAAGTGTTAAGCATCTTCTTTGGTTGGATCAACCTGTAGATTGCTATAAGTGTTGCAAACTATAACCTCGGTTTCACTTCGACTTGTAAATTGCTACAAATTTCAACAAGTGTTAAGCATCTTCTTTGGTTGGATCAACCTGTAGATTGCTATAAGTGTTGCAAACTATAACCTCGGTTTCACTTCGACTTGTAAATTGCTACAAATTTCAACAAGTGTTAAGCATCTTCTTTGGTTGGATCAACCTGTAGATTGCTATAAGTGTTGCAAACTTTTATCTCAGCTTAACTTCAACTTGTAAATTGCTACAAATTTCAACAAGTGAAGATAAGGAATCAACTTAACTCCAACTTGTAAATTGCTATAAATTTCAACAAGTGAATTAAGAAATAATCTCGGCTTAACTTCAGTTAAGCATCATCTCGGCTTAACTTTGGTTAAGCATCATCTTGGTTTCTCTTCAGTTAAACATCATCTGGGCTTAACTTCGGTTAAGCGTCATCTCGGCTTAACTTCGGTTAAGCCTCATCTCGGCTTAACTTCGGTTAAGCATCGTCTCGGTTTAATTTTGGTTAAACATTATCTAGGTTTAACTTCAATTAAGCATTATTTCGGCTTAACTTCGGTTAAGTATCATCTCGGCTTAACTTCGGTTAAGCATCATATTGGTTTAACCAACTTGTAAATTGCTACAAATTTCAACAAGTGGTAAACACATTCTTCTTCTCTCTGTCCCCCCAGTGTGAACTTAAAATCCACTTGAGTTCTCATCATACATGTAGCTTCGACCTTGTCGCCGAGGTTTAATTCAAGCCGAGGTTGTCGGCCTTGGTTTCTCTATTGATCTTACTTGGCTCCAACTTGAGTTTGATTTTCGGCCTCACATCGGCGAGCCGTTTCTCTTTTCTCGTTCTGACACCTTTGTTCCCGGCATGTCCTCCTCGGCCCTAGTATACTTCTCAATTCTGGCCAACTTTAGTATAATCTTGTGTGTTTTCTTTTTATCTTCTGGGATCTGAGATCTGCTCATTGTGCTCTTCTCTTCTCGGACTCAAATGCCGAGATCTTATCTTCTAGAATCTTGGATTTGCTCACTTAGGTTGAGCTTTTCTCTTCTCGGACCTACTCATCTAGGCCGAAATCATGTCTTCTAGAATCCGGGATCTCGAATTCGGGATCTGCTCACTTAGGTTGAGCTCTTGTCTTCTCGGGCCTACTTGTCTAGGCTGAGATTATATCTTCTCGGATTCGGGATCCAAGATCTGAAATCCAGGATCTGCTCACTCAGAATGAGTTCTTCTATACTTGAATGTTATCTCCTTGAGAGCGCTCATGCCCCCTGTCTTTGCATCCCTTCTGGAAGGGTCTTCGTTCCTCCACAGGTATCTATCCTTCTATACCTGGAGGTCTTCTTCGTTGCTTCGATCTGTTGTCTTTGGTACGTCACCTTCCTGGCCGACTTCTTTCACTCCGTGACTCTGGTCACGAGTTTCTGTGTTGCTATTGTCCCCTTCAATGTCGAGATCGATAGGTCTCCGACTCCCAGCAGGAGCATTGTCTCTAATCTGATCCTTCTGTTCGTCATTGGCCATCTATTCTTCTTTCTTTCCCACAGACGGCGCCAAATTGTGTGGGTGATTTTCCGACCACACTGCCTGCTTAGTAACCAGCTGGAGAGCACCGACAGAATAGATGGCACCTGACTGACCTGCAACAGAAATATAAGAATCTCGCGGTGGTTTCGACCACCCGGGGGCACTCCGACGATCAAGTCAGTATATCAATCAAGTACTAAATTCACAAGCTTGAGTATCAAAAGCATACCTTAGACCCATGGGGTGCCTCTCTTTTATAGCCAACACCATCCTAGTTCAAAAAGGAGCCTAGCCCTAATGGACTTAGGATTACTGCTAATCTGGGACTCCTAGTGGGATTAGGATAAACTCTCTAAGAGTTTTATCTTTACCCAAACTAAAGTCTTCTCCCAATCTAGGACTCTTGTCCATATCCAAGTTGAGTTCCCTCTTCATTCTAGGACTCTTGTCCCTTATCCGCTTATCTCGGATTCCGATATCTTCGGAGGCAACCTCGGCCTAGCCGAGATGACCTCGGCACAACGACCAAGACACGTGGCACCTCGGCTGACACGTCGGCGTCACCTTGCCACGTGTTGGTACTCAAAAAATATATCCCCACAGCGATCAATATTTTAGTAGTTAAAAGTGACTTTTTTTGTAATGTTTATAGAGTAATGTTAGAGATACTAAAATTTTTATCAAATATTTTATTAAATATTTCATATGGAAGTGAGTCTTACATAAGTGTAGAATTTACATCCATATAAAATATTTAGTAAAAATTTTAGGGCCTCCAGCATTTTCCATACTTAAAATCTCAATAAATTTTTTTTATATATTTTTTTGATATGCATGGAGAGTAGTGATACTCAAATAAGAAAAACTATTCAAAGAGACGATCATAAGCATTTTCTTTTCATATAAATAAACTAATTGCTCAGGACATCTTGTTTGGTTTGTCTCTTAAGATAATTTTTTAAAAAAATATTAAAAAATTTATTTGGTTAAAATTTTTTGAAAAAAATTTGAAAATCACTTTTTTTTTATTGCACATCAATTAATTCCCCCCCCTCCTATCTCCTTCTCTCACATCCTAATATTAATCAATCACTTTTTTCTCACACTCATCTATTCAACTGCAAATAAAAAAAAAAAAATTCAAACTCAAACTCTAAAACTATTTTCAAAACATACAACCAAACAAATTTTCAAACTTTGTAGTAAACTTTTTTCAAAAAATTATTTTTTAAAATTGTTCCACAAATACAAACCAAACACAGCCTTTAAATCTCATAATTTTTTCCCAACAAACTCTTTCCAATAAATTTATGTATAATTGTACCCCCAAAAAAAAAAAAAATTTTTAACGTAGCTTGTGATTAAAACTTGCTTAAGATTAAAACACAATTTTAAAACTCAAAAACAAAACAAAACAAAACAAA